ACTACTAGTCCTATTGACTCCACAACCCACATATATCTCCGCCACGTGTCCCTTCCCTCCATCTGCATGTTAAAACCACCCCAACCCTCCACTCTCCGGAAAACCTCTCAAATCCTGTAGTTTAACACCCAAAAGCGTAGAAAAAAGAAGAAAAGAAGAAGATGACCAATGAAACAAAGAATGTACTGCCGGAGACAAAGGTGGCGATGGCCGTGTCTCGGGATGAAAACGGCATACTGAACTGTTCGATCCCAGATCGCCGGAGACTTGGTCGACGGAAAAGCAACGTCATGCATGTCATTCTAAGGACTGCTCTGTCTTTTAACTTGTGTCACATCAATCTCAGTAATGGCCACTGCCAAACAAGAGTACGTTGACACATATTTGGCCCACCCGGCAACCCTCCAATAGGGGCCAAATATGTGTCCATTATGTCAAACATTATGTAAACTATTATGTTCATCTAGCATTTTCCCATTAAATTATCCATATGGCTGAGATCCCTCACACTTCAGACATTGAATTAACAATACACAAATGAAAAAATGGTGAAAAGCAATGTAGACGAAGTGTTAGAAAGAGACATGATTGTTATTATATATGTGCAATATGTTGTTATTACAACAATTGATACATATGAAGGGGAGACTGCGCTTCTTTTTTTATCGGTTTAGACACGGGAAATTGCAAGATGTATAACTAGAAAGTTTGAACTAACCGTAGTTAACAGCCAATCGTCAGCCTTGAACTTGCTTCCATATATATCTCTTTAGAACTTCCATTAATGGGTCAAACCATGTTCGCCTGGTGCATGACTTGGAAATACGTCTGGACATTGTTTCCTTCACTTCAGTGCATCTACTAGTGATGATAAATAAAGTATTAGATAATGAATGCCATCTCTTTTTTTTTTTTGGTGTCTAGTCACTTCTGTGCATTTACAAGTGATGACAAATATAATATCACATAACGATTGTCATCTTTCTGTCTTTTCTTGCGATAGTTATCTACTTTGGTTAAGAAACCAGCATCTATTTTCCGATAGTTAAATCAAGTTTAGCTGCCTCGTTTATTTATTATCCCCTTGTGTTTATTGCAGATATTTGCATATGCTATGATAAGTGGTGGATCAGCTGCATCTGGTGTCACGAACCTGAACCGTACAGGGATCCGACATTCTTCCCTGCCAAATTTTTGCAAACCATTGCGTATTTTCTGCAATCGTGTGGCTGTATCTATAGCCTTCACGTTTTTCAGCTGCTTCTTGCTAGCCTTGTTGGCCGTTCTTGACGTAGTCTGGCTATCCAAGTTACTACATTAACTAATGCTTTCAGTTCTGTATCTATGAAATAGTGTATGAATAAGTGGATTCTACCATTGTCTTTAATGCATTGCTTGGGAGTTCTTGTTCTGTTATTGCATTCATTTCGGGATCTTGTGTACATTGAGACTGTGATGAGATTGTGAAATTCTTGAGATACTGAACTGTCAAAATTGTGAATTCGACTCGATCCTGCAATTAAGATTCTTGGTCATACCATTTGATTATCTGAGAGCAACAATCTCGAGAGACCGAGAGAGAGAGAGATTTTAAATGTCATACAACTCAACGAGTGAAAAATGTTCTCATGTAGCAAATACGTTATCATATTAAAAGTGCCTTCTTCGTCATTAGTATGTTTGCTCAAGACAATTGTGAACTCTCGAGAGAATTGATGATTGGATCTCTGAATCAGTCATAGGGTTATGGATCAAAGGATAATACAAAACTCAGTCCTCATGGTGAATCTTACATAACAGAATGAGATACAAAAAAGGATGAGATACAAAAAAAGAAACATGTTACCTACTCTTTACAGTCTAAGCAAATCCCTTTAGTCTGTATTCCATAATTCATAATGAATCAAGGGAACAATACATATCTAAGGTTTTTCTTTACACCAATTCAAAAATACAAAAACAAGTTTCAAATTTCAAAAATCAGATTTTTTAAAATTTTTATTTATGAAATAATAAATTATTAAATCAATTTATCATTACATATTTAATACTAATATAACATAATTAGCCCACCCCACCTCCACCACCCTTACTGCTCGGGGGACTATTCCGGTTACCGTTCCGATCACAACTGATATCTGGCAATTGTTTCGACGACTACTCCGATTCCGATGACTATATTAAGGTCACAGATCTATGCAATTTGATCACAATTAAAAAAAATTAAATTCAAAATTTTTTAGGTCATAGTTCGTTTATCAGTCACAAATTAAAATTTTAAAAGTCACAATTTGTTCATTGGCACAAACCACCAAATTTATAAGTTACGCAACTTATTTTACGGTCATAAAACATCAAATTAATTGGTCACAAAGTTATTTCGAGGTCTCAAATTAAACATTTTATAAGTCACAATTTAATTCATTGGTCGCAGATTAAAAAATTATATATCACAATTTATCGATAGGTCACAGTGAACAAAAATGTCGATTACATACACCAAACACCCCCACCCCAGTCCCGAACCTCTGTCAATGTTTTGGTCACAAACAAACCAAATAATTGGTTACAAATACTACCCCACTCCCACTCCCACTCCCACCCTCACCACAATACCACCCAAACCACCACCGTCACCCCGTCACACTACCACCGCCATCACCTGCACCGTAACACCAAAAAAATCGCCATCGCCTGTCGTTCACCCGCTACAAAAACCACCACAACCACAATAACAATACCATCTGCAACGACACTACACCTCACCGAGACCATCACCAGATGTGCCGCCAACAAACAAAGCCAACGCTATAGCAGCGATCGCCACCCAAACACCACCACAAACTGAAAACATACCCAAAAACCACATCATCCCGGCCATGGCAGGCAGACCACAGCCACATGAGCATCACCACCACAACCCAACCGCGAGCACCACCACCACAACCCAACTGCGACTTCCAGTAATATCTTCCAGCAACATCTACAGCGCCACCGTACACATCCCGCAGCACCCATCACCACACCACTCAAAACAAGGGAAAGAAGAATCGGATAAGAGACAGCCAACGTCGCTTCACTCCGCGACGTTCAAATCGCGCTGCTGAAAAACAATTGGATCTGTGGCTCTCGTACCTAGTCGAGGAGATATGCCGTTAGGCGACGGATCTGTGGGCTCTCGTCGACGAGGAGATACGAATCTGGATCAATAGGTTCAAGTCGCGCTGCTGAAAAAAACCACAAATCTGGATATGTGGGCTCTCGTCGACTAGCAGATATGCGGTTGGGCGACGGTTTCTAAGAACAGAGACGGGGATGAAAGAATGGGATGGAGGGAAACCGTGGACTCTCGTCGGCGAGGAGATGTGTGGTTGGGTTAGGACAGGGAGGAGAGAATGTGACAGTAGGTGGAATGAATTTTAGGGTTGATTTGGGTTATTTTAATTGGGATGAAAATTAAATAATGCATATTAAATTAAATATAAAAAATTTGATTTTTGAAAAGTTAAACTTGTGATGAGATTTTTGAAAATGGAAAATCTAAAAGTAGGATTGAGGTGTAATTTCTTCATGAATCAAATCTTCGCAAAGAGGATTCCAACAGGAGTCCAAGTAATTGCCAGAGTGGATGGCCCACGGTCCATATGATGGCCTAGGCCCACTATAGGAAGCAAATTTCGGTCTGGGCCTTTCAAAATTTAACCTCTTTAGGCCCAATCAGGGAAAAAAAATTACAGTAATAGAAAAAACCATTTATTGAAGAGAAGAGAGTTAAGTGCGACCAAGTCAAATAAGAAAATCTTAATTTGGACAAACCTTAACTTCTAGTAACTGCCTGAAGTTCAACACCCAACGTCTATTGCCAGTTATGCTCCAAATTTTGAAATCCCTCTCCATCCCACACTCTCTATAGAATTACTTAGGACATGTTTGATAGGCCATTATTTTCCATGAAAAATGGAAAACAAATTTCAACTTTCACTTTTACCTTTTTTGATACACTTTTTTTCCATTGAAAAAACTTTCTTTGTTTCGTTCACATGCTCACATTTTCCTTAGTTTTGTGCTAGCTTTTTTTTTTTTTGCAATTGAAAAAATTCTAGACACAATGTTCAAATTAAACATTTTATAAGTCACAATTTAATTCATTGGTCACAGATTAAAAAATTATAGATCACAGTTTATCGATAGGTCACAGTGAACAAAAATGTCGGTTACATACACCAAACACCCCCACCCCAGTCCCGATCCTCTGTCAATGTTTTGGTCACAAACAAACCAAATAATTGGTTACAAACACTACCCCACTCCCGCCCTCGCCACAATACCACCCAAACCACCACCGTCACCCCCATCACACTACCACCGCCATCCCCTACACCGTAACACCAAAAAAATCACCATTGCCTGTCGTTCACCCGCTACAAAAACCACCACAACCATAATAACAACACCGTCTGCAACGATACTACATCTCACCGAGACCATCACCAGATGTGCCGCCAACAAACAAAGCCAACGCTACAGCAGCGACCGCCATCCAAACACCACCACAAACTGAAAACATACCCAAAAGCCACATCATCCCGGCAATGGCAGGCAGACCACAGCCACACTAGCATCACCACCACAACCCAACCACGAGCACCACAGCCACGCGAGCACCACCACCACCACAACCTAACCACGACTTCCAGCAATATATTCCAGCAACATCTACAGCACCACCGTGCACATCCCGCATCACCCATCACCACACCACTCAAAACAAGGGGAAGAAGAATCGAAGAAGAGACAACCAACGTCGCTTCACTCCGCGACGTTCAAATCGCGCTGCTGAAAAACAACTGGATATGTGGCTCTCGTACGTAGTCAAGGAGATATGCGGTTAGGCGGCGGATTTGTGGGCTCTCACCGGAGAGGAGATACGGATCTGGATCTGTGGGTTCAAATCGCGCTGTTGAAAAAAACCACAAATCTGGATATGTGGGCTCTCATCGGCTAGTAGATATGCGGTTGGGCGACAGTTTCTAAGAACAGAGACGAGGATGAGAGAATGAGATGGAGGGGAGAGAAGCCTGGGCTCTCGTCGGCGTGGAGATGTACGGTTGGGTTGGGACGGGGAGGAGAGAATGGGATGGAGGGGAGAGAATGTGACGGTAGGTAGAATGAATTTTAGGGTTGATTTGGGTTATTTTAATTGGGATGAAAATTAAATATGCATATTAAATTAAATATAAAAAATTTGATTTTTTAAAAGTTAAACTTGTGATGAGATTTTTGAAAATGGAAATCTAAAAGTAGGATTGAGGTGTAATTTCTTCATGAATCAAATCTTCGCAAAGAGGATTCCAACAGGAGTCCAAGTAATTGCCAGAGTGGATAGCCCACGGTCCATATGATGGCCTAGGCCCACTATAGGAAACAAATTTTGGTTTGGGCCTTTCAAAATTTAACCTCTTTAGGCCCGGGAAAAAAAATTACAGTAATAGAAAAAACCATTTATTGAAGAGAAGAGAGTTAAGTGCGACCAAGTCAAATAAGAAAATCTTAATTTGGACAAACCTTAACTTCTAGTAACTGCCTGAAGTTCAACACCCAACGTCTATTGCCAGTTATGCTCCAAATTTTGAAATCCCTCTCCATCCCACACTCTCTATAGAATTACTTAGGACATGTTTGATAGGCCATTATTTTCCATGAAAAATGGAAAACAAATTTCAACTTTCACTTTTACCTTTTTTGATACACTTTTTTTCCATTGAAAAAACTTTCTTTGTTTCGTTCACATGCTCACATTTTCCTTAGTTTTGTGCTAGCTTTTTTTTTTTTTGCAATTGAAAAAATTCTAGACACAATGGTAAAAAAAATTATCACTTTTACTGACAATTTTCATGCAAAACAAAGACAAACAAATGGTATTCGTTATGGTAATTTTTTGGCAATTTGAACAAATTCTAGACCCAATAATACAAAAATTATCACTGTATACTAATCAAATACAATTAATTACAATTTCCAGTAAAACAATTTTTAGGCAATTCAATTCCTTGTAAAACATCTTCTTTCCATCCATTTATCATATTTGCAATCAAACGGACCCTTATTTACCTTGTTCAAAGTTACAAAATTCATATATATTTCCATTAAACCACTCACTACATAAAATTCAGAAAAAAAATGAAGTGCGAAACCATGACATCTTTTCAGGTTTCTATTGGGTTACATTGATTATACTAGCCATCCCAAATGTTGCTCCGGACACGGCTGCCGAGGAACTCCAAGTAGGTGGTACCGCTGGGTGGCGGCTGCCAGGTTCGAACAATACCGAAATCTAATCCCAGTGGGCGGCTACGAGGAAATTTCACATTGGCAATTAACTCCGTGAGTTTGTTCGCCCTAACATTTCTTTCTTTTTTGTTCTAATGTTTTCAAGTAGAAAATGTAGCCATCAAATACTTCAATTTTATTATGCCCTAAGAAAAAATCGAAACACGTTTGATATTCGAGACTTGACTATAGCAGTGTGCAAGAGGTTAAAACCTCGTCTATTGTCCTTTATGATGCTTCTTAGCTCCTGTCTAGAGCCATTCTCTTCAGATTTTAAGTAGAGATTAGAACGTTATACACAGTAAGTGGGTCTTGCTCTAGTCGCAATGGTTGACACACAAAAAAGCATTGAAAGGTGTTTTTAATTTGAAATCCCATTAATGCCCTTATCGAGAGGATTAAATGCAAAAATAAAGGGGCATATATGTCTTTTTCTCAATCCTCTTTAATTGTTTGATAAGGCAGTAGTCAACAATGGCTGCTACAGTGGGATTCGCATGACTGTATAACGTTCTAATTGTTGATTAAAATCTGAAGAGAATTGCTCCTCGACAGGGGCTTAAATTGAGTACTAAACGTGTACCGAAACATGTTTGATATACAAGACTTCAGACTTTGACCATAGATTGTGTGCAAGAAGTTAAAACCTCGACTACTTACAATTGAGTCTCAAACATTAAAACATGTTCCATATAAATGAGACTTGAGACTTAACCATATATAGCGTTCAAGAAATTTAAGTCTTGTTGTCCTCTATGATGCTGCTTAGTACTGATTAATAAACATGTACGTAGATTCCAGGATTTCGGCTTCATTGCTATCCATTTTTATGCAGGTTTTGAGTACAGGAATGATTCAGTTGTTATGGTGGATAAATGGTGGTACTATCACTGCAATGCAAGCCATCCCGTATCAGTATACAACACTGGAAACACCATAATCAATCTTGATAAGCCTGGTCCTATGTATTTTGTTAGGGGAGATCCTATGCATCGCAAGAATGGACAAAGATTATTTGTGGAGGTCCAAGATTCTTCAGCAACATCACCATTTTCAAGTGCCGCCTCATCTTCAAATTTGGTTTTCTTATATATGGTGCTAACTGCAGCCTCCTCCTTTGTGTGAAAGCATGTAAGATTGGATTGGATAGCGCTCGATAATTCTAATTTCGAATTATATTTAATATTCTTGTTATGTTTAGGATATGTTATGTTTTACTGGATTTTGTTAGCTTCCATGAATTGTATCTCTTCGACCACTGTTGAGTAAACTGACCTCAACTAATTCTATCACGAAATCACTATTATTAAAAAAAAACCATGTTAATAATTCCTTGTAATTAACATTATGATTGTTTTTCACTTTTCTAACACCTTGTATATAGGGAGCATAAGTGCATTATACTCTTAAATGAACTCTTTTCATTGCATTTGTTTGACAGCATTTTCTAAGGATCAAACTGTAAAATGGAGAAGACATATGATAAGCATTGTTATGCTTATTCAAAATGGCCAAAATTTTCTTGTTTTGGAAGACTTTTCCTAAAATTGCTTCATAATTCAGTAGAATCCTTGGCAAACTATGAAAGAAAAATATTAAACTTCTTCTCTGCGTCCACTTTCTTGAAGCATAAAAGAGTAATGCTAACTTTAATTATCCAATAAAGCGTGCATTTTGATCTTTAAGTCATTGAACAAATGCGCCTCCACTGCCATCTAGACTGGTACTAGATGGCATTATTCAGCAAGAGGGTGTTTTGAAAAAAATCCCTATTTTATTTAGTTGAAGAGAATAATATTCGTTTCATTCTTGAATGGGATAAGAAAAATAAAGGCGAATGCTTGTTCAGACAAGTTCCAAAGGATTAGCATCTAAACCTTCACACTGAGATAAGCATTTTTAGTGAAGATGCTACCTTAATGCAAATAGCCAAGTATAAATGTGAAGGAACTTTCTTGGCTTGTCACTAATTCAAGATCCGGTTAGAGCCTGGGAAGTTGAAATTGAGAGTACACGTGTGTTTTTGGCCCTCCATGCTCAAGTTCACCCTCTATCAGGCTCAACTATCCAACTGCTGCTTGACTTTGAGACCTTAAACTATTAACTTGAAGAATCTGAATTCTTTTCAACCTGTTTTTAATATGTTTTCTGCTACGATCTTGATCATATGTTGGATATCTATTGAGTGGGTTCTCACAATGCGAGGTGCTTATGTAGCAAATTATGATAGAATATGGATTTGACCTTTGTGGCCTTGCCATCTATTTGGTGCTATTGTTTCAATCAGTGCCCATATATCATTTCAAAATCTGACAAAGTACTTCAGAGTTGTTATCTTCATTTGCATCCTTATCTTCGGAACACATATAGGCAAGAGTAAATATATTGTTTTGGGGAGAAATGTAATCTTAAGATATTATGAATTTTGATACCAAGCTAATGACGATAATGTAATAAATAAGAAGAAAAGAAACACCAAGATTTACGTGAAAACCCAATACGAGAAAAAATCCCGGGCAGAGGAGGAGAAATCCACTATAATCAATAGCAATTGTGTTTACAATCTCAATTCACTCAATTGAAATCTAAAACTCTCGAAATATTGCTTGATTTTTTTTTTTCTATACAAGTCGTGCTATATATATAAACCTCAGAGAACAAGTTGTAGAAAAATAGGAGTCTAAAATCGCGGCGCCAGGCGAGTGACCAAGTCGCAGGTTATTTTTTATCAGGCTTACTTGAGCGTCCAGCTAGCGAAAATGCAGCGACTTTTTTCTCCGGTCCATAATTTTGATCTTTTCAAGACCACTTCAATTTAGACTCCAATACCCACTAGAATTTGGGTCAAACCACAACAAATCTCCATCTTGAACCAAATTCCAACACAAGGAATTCCAAGTCGTAACTCCATCGGTAAACACCACTCATCATCTTCTAAACATGTCCCAATTGACTAAATTAATGACAAACACCCACTAAATTCAACCAATGTTCAAACTTAGCAATGAGAAGTGGTTTAGTCATCATATCAACATGATTATCCTTGGTATCAACCTTGCTTAGTACAATATCACCACAACCAATCATATCACGCACAAAATGATACCTCACATCAATGGAGTCCTCTTGTGAAACATGTGATCCTTAATTAAGAAAATTGCACTCTGACGATCACAGAATGCTGTAGACATCTGTAAGTCTTAACTGATTTCACAAATCAATCTTCTTAGCCACATAGCCTCCTTACATGCCTCTATAATGGCCATGTATGATGCTTCTATTGTAGACAAAGCTATTATATTTTGCAAAGTAGCTTTCCAACTGATAGCACAACATCCAAGAGTAAACACATACCCAGTGATATCCTCTTATCAAGACCCCTGCATAATCTGAATCCACATACTCAATGACTCCATTTGAATTTCTACAAAAATGCAAACAAACATTAGAAGGGCCCCTAAAGTATCTGAAGATCCATTGCACTGCTTTCCAATGCTTTTTGCCAAGATTTGTCATGTATCTGTTAACTGCACTAACTGCATGTGCTAAATCAGATCTTGTACAAATCATAGTATACATAAGCAAACCAACTGCACTAGAATAAAGAACCCGAGACATGTAATCAATGTCTTCATCTGGCTTATGACAATTAGATGATAATTTAAAGTGGGCAAACAAGGGCGGTGACAGCCCTCACATTCATCATATTGAGTCTTTCAAGCACCTTCTCAATGTATCCCTTCTGACTCTAATACAATCTGTCAGCCTTTCTATCCCTCAAGATTTTCGTACCAAGAATCTTCTTTGATACACCCAAATCCTTCATATCAAACTCATTGTTGAGTCGAAACTTCACTTTTCTAATCTTTCACTTATCTTTGGCTGCTATGAGTATATCATCAACATATAATAACAAATATATAGTCGATCCACTATCTTCATTTTTGAAGTACACACAACTATCATAATTACATCTAAAGAAACTACGTAGTCATGAATGAATCAAACCTCTTATACTACTACTTCGATGACTGCTTTAGTCCATACAAGGACTTTTTCAACAAGTACACACATTCTTCTTTCCCAGAGACTATTGTTGCATGTAGATGCTCTCCTCAAGTTCTCCATGGAAGAATGTTGTCTTGACATATCTATCTGCTCAAAATCCAAGTCATTCTTAGCCACCACTTCAAGTAAAGCCCGGAGGGAACTATACTTCACAACTAGGGGTGGGCAATGGGTCGGGTCGGGTCGGGTTTGGCCTAAAACAGACCCAACATATCCAATTTTGGGCTCTTTCACAAATCGACCCGACCAGACTAGGCTCTTACCCTAAATGGACCTGAACCGAATAGGGTCGAGTAGGGTCGGGTCGATTAGGGTCGGGTCCTGCTATTTTTTTTTTTTTTCAATAATTTTATTTGAGACTTCCCAATCCATTAATTGGCTTAAATATAAATAATACATTTGCCATTTCAATAAGAAATTTGAAATAATATTTATCATTCATACTATACAATCAACTAAAATTGAATAAATCACAATTTTTTTTTACTAAGAACAGGTTTATAATTTGAATTTTCTCACAAACAAAAAATAAAACTTACATCCCAAATAATTATTTTCCTGCAAGTGAATATCATACTAATAAAATCAAACAGGCTAAAATTTATCATTAAGCGCAAAAAGTAAATATTAAAATATTACAGTCAACCAACAATTAAAAATATACAGTAATCCAAACTTAATAAATAAGTAAAAAGAAAAATACTACACATCCAAAATTTAAACTTCTAAAACATTAAATACTAAAGTAGAGTATCACAATCTTCCATTCTTGCATAATTTTAAGTAGCATTCCTACAAAATAATATAAACATTTAGAGAAAAATATTAATAATATAATGACAAAGCCAGTTGTACACATTGAATACATTATACATCTACCTGAAAAAATCATAAATGCATGAATAAATTTTATTTAGCCCTCATTTGATTTATCTGATTCCAAAAGCTCTACAAAATAAATGATTAAATTAACAATAAATTAAATAAAACACATTTAGCTCCCGTTTGGTGCACATTTTTTTGAAAAAGAATGCATTTTTACTGTTGATGTGATGAGAAATATGTGATTGAAAAAGAAGGAAAAGTTATTGATGTGATGAAAAATATTATTTTATTGAAAAATGTGTGATTGAAAATGAAAATAAAAAAAAATAATGTGGCTCAAACAAGGGCGAAGNTCTGAAGCCATTATAGACACTTGAATTGCCATGACGTCTCTTGTGAGTTTGGATAAAGTACCGTATTTATTTACATTAACCCGCCATCAGTTAAGAACATCAAAATCACTATCTTCTATATCTTCACAAGCATCCAACAAGTATCTATCAACATCATTTTTAAGTCCAACAAAATCTTTTGCTGCATTTTTTTTTCTTAAACCTAGAAAAACGATTAATAAAGCCTGTTGAAGTAGGACTTTCTTTAATAGAAGAAACCACACTTGAATAATTCATATCACTATATACTTGATTGTTTTTATATTTTGCTTCACATCTCACATACCAATCGTAAATAGAAATCATATTGTCTTTCAAAATATTTGTCATCAATTGTTATCATCTTAGCACATGTAAGTCCACATTCTTCTTTATTAAAGCCAACCTCTATAAGATTATTCCCATCACCCTCAGTTGCATTTGTTTTCCCTTTTATCTTACATCCTTCCCGAATACTTCTTACAATGAAGAACCAAATGATTTTTCAAGGTACTAGTTCCACACTTCCTAGCCCCATAAGCATAATCCTGTCCACAATAATTAGACGTATTCCTAACATCTTCATCTTTTGGATCTCCTGTAATAGTGAAGTGTTCCCATACATTTGAAAATTTCATATTTTTCCTCTTCCCTAAACATGATTGTGGAAGTGAAGGAAGAGACATAGCACTTTTTTCTAAATTTGAAGCTTCAATTTCACTATCCATTTTCATATCCATATCCATAGTCACATTCATATCTATACAAACAAATAAGAAACCAAATATATATATTTATTCGCAAACAAGAAACATATTTTGAAGACAACGAGAAGTAACACATTGAAATTTCATAGCCATA